AGAGGATTGCCAAGTTGTCTGGTAATTTGCTACAAGAGGCAAGAGCACTCCGAGTTGAAGGTACTTTCTGCTATGATCTTGGTTTCTACAAGGATGGCATGAAGCATTGCCTCAAAGGAATGGAGCTTCTACAACTTTGTGGTCTGACTGGGAGTGTGGTTGGGTTCAGTCTGCTGAATACTATGGCAGGCATTCATTTTGCGAAATCAGAATATGCCGAATCCCGCAGCATCAATGCCAAGATCATGCGGGACACGGATCCGTCTCAGTATAGCTATGCTCATGGGCTACTTTCCCAAGCTTCCATTGATGTTTTGATTGGGGCAGATGACCAAGACGTTCAACGTAGCATAGACACTGCCTATGTGAGCTTCTGCACCACAGGACAGACTTACCTGCTGAGGCACTGCGATGTTGTTCATGCTGAACTGTCCCTTCGGCAGGAAAATTTTGTTAATGCCAAAACCTTATTCCAGAGCTGTTATAATGCAGCTTATGGAGCACAATTTGAAGTTTTGGATCATTGCCTTGATCGACTTGGTGATTCAACCTGTTGGGGCCCTAACAAAGCATCATGGACTTTATCCTGGTCCTTTGTATTCCTTGCACATGGATTGAAACTACGCAAGAAGCTCCAGATCCACCAGGCACTCCGCTGCCTCGGAGATGTTTTCCTTGACCAGGATGACTTGGAGACAGCCATGAGTATTTTTACTGTGGCCTTGGAAGGATTTGATCAAATGGATGTCCACCGGAGCAAAGGGGACTGCTTGCTCCGAATCGGAGATATCTATAGTCACAAGCGTAACTTCACCAAGGCCACAGAGTTCTACAGAGGGGCACTCCCTTTGTTCGAGCGGTCATTACAGGCAAAGGGTGTGTCTCAAATTAATGCGAGGCTTGCCGCTATGGAAGAAAACACATCAGAGGAGCTAGAACAGCATGAATCAGGGATCCAAAAGAGGGATACTGCTTGACTATTTTGGACAGCAGTGCAATACAGGAACCTTCTGGAAATTGGACTAGGTTGTGTTGTGTTGGGAGTATACCCCGGGTTATGTCAGTACGTAATAGGCCAATGAAGATCTATAGTTCTACGTTCCCGGTAACTGTCTTTAATTGACCATTGTAGTCTGCGGATACTTCTGCACTATTGTCTCTAGTAATCCCTGCCTCTATAATTTTGCTGTTCAACCAAGGTATAGAACGAGTCTGGTTCGTGCACGAATCACTGCGGTTTGAACCGTGGGAAACCATGACAAGTGACATGCCAGGATCAAGCCGGAATATTTGCTGAAACCGGCGGTACTAAGCGGGACCGTGCCGTATACCGGTAATGTATACAGCGAACAGCTGGCAGACGCAAGCAGGGGGCACTGTGTCCGGATAGTCAATGCATTTCAGGATCACTGTCACACTGATCGTTGGCCGGGTTCAAGCGAATTCTGTGGATGCCGAAATTATGCCTTGCCATCTTAGTTGCAGATCGATGATGGAGAGTCTTTGAGTATTTCCTGAAGTTGAACCATAGAGTGGATGGCATTGAATTCTCTGTAGGTAGGACTCACTACATCAAAACTCAAGGTACTGCATACTATTTCCTCAAGATTTTTGTGTAGTTAGCATATTACTTGGCACAGTCCGACTTAGGGACGCCAAGAAATTTCGGAATCATTGCCTCCGGCAATCTCACGCGGACCTAATCTGGCATAGATCCGCCGCGTGCAACAGTAAGCTACTAGTATTTCATCTGACCCATCAACTAAATATCTTGCTTGGGAGAATAAAGGGGGGCCATTCCGTCGAGCCAGGAAGTAGCCCTATTTGTCTCTCTGCAGTTTTCCACCTTTGTGATTCTTTCTGCCACACTCAGTGCTTCTCTAACTCGAGGCAAGTGTACTGTGCTCTCGTCCAATGCCAACCCCACTGTCAAGCCTGCCCCATGCTGTTGTCTCTAGTCGTGGTTTGATATGCTGAATAGATTCATTGCAGGAGGCTGGTGCTAACATGTACACCAGCCCGGATTTGAACTTCAAGAGCTTGTCCAAGCTCACTGGCTTCAATGACAGGCAGTGTGTCAGCTTTGCCAAAGGTGTCCCTTAGGGCCAACAACCAGACCTCGAGCCTCGGCCTCGACCCAGGTGTTGTTTACATGTTTACAGTCGTAATCACGCCTCTGTCTAGTACAAGACTGAGGTACGGCTGGGGCTGACCACGGCGGATCTTATGGGTAAATGCCCTTTCTCCTCGTAGATCTTGTTTGTACTAGGGCTGTTTATGAGTGGACTCATGGGTGACCCGGATCCGCAGTGGCGAGTGCCTGTGAGAGGAAATCCTGAACTCGGATCCACAAGTATAAAACCCATGGGTCATCTGAGTACCCATGAGTTTTAAAAAACTTGCAAGTACCTGTAAGTACCTGCAGCTTTTCTGCTGTTTTATGGAAGTTATGACTGAAATGAACTCATATATGTCATGGCAAGACACTATTCATCCATATTGACCTTGAACATACCTGAAATACTACATCTGGGTTGGAAACCTTGATTAAAATGCTCCCCCACCTCACAAATACTCACAATGGTGAAAAAAAATCTAATAGAATCAGAACCCGGATCCGTGAAAAACTCGTGGCCATGGGTACGAACACCCACGGGTTTTCCCACGGATCAACTCGCGAAAACTTGCGGGTTATCTGCACTCATGGACAGCCTTAGGGCCTGATCGGGTGCACCAGAATCTTTTCCCAGAATCTGCTAGAATCTTACACGCATATAAATTTCGTCCCTAAACCATCGTAGAATCACTAATACAGCTATTCTATAAACACTTGAGCACCGGGAGTGGCAGAAAAAATGTGCTCTTAAATTATCCTCAGGATTCTGGGGTTGTGCAATAGATTCTGAGTTCAACACAGAATGTGTTGAATATTTTGAAGCCATGTCTTCCCGTCCACTCCATCTCAGCCATATTTTAAGAAAGACATATATTCCCCATTCTGGCTTGGTTTAGGGACGAATTGTGTGAGAAAAGTACGTATAGCCGAAATTCTGTAAAAAGTTTCTGGTGCACCCGATCAGGCCCTTAGTATGCACCCTCTATATGTGTGTCTCCACCATGGCTGGCCCCAAAATTCTGGCTGACTGCTCTCCTTTAGGGTTCTGGGCCAACAGCAATGTAGACTCAGGCCCTGGATGTGGTTCTGGACCTCAATCCAGGTTATTTGCTGGAGCAATCCAGGGAAGGGTCAGGGATATCGATGAGGAGGTAAGTCAAAAGTGAAATGTATAAATTTTGGTACTTGGGAGTCGTTGGTTTAATTGGTGTAGAGTAGAGGGCCCTTTTAGATCAACGTAAGATTGTCCTCACTTCATATTGATCCATTGTGGCTGTTCTGAGGAAGGTGTGGGTTTGACACCCACCACGGGCATATTTGTTGCAACAGGAACAGGCTGTCGTTCAGGTGGTTTTCTTTCAGTAGGGATGCCCTCATAGATCAACACTAGATCGTCCTAATGACAAGTATTTCAAACCATTATGGGTTGTGAGGAAGGTGTGGGTTCGATTCCCACCATGTATGGTGGTCTGTTTGCACTTTTATTAATCTTCTATAATATAATACGAGGGGGGGGGATAACTATGATGGGCCATCACGGTCCATCCCCACGGTCATGCACCGTCGACGTCATGGCCGTGGGAACTGCTTCGGAAGACGCCGCTTCGGCTTGCTGTGCAACATGCTGCTTGAACAGCAATACATAACAGCGGGGGCATGAGGCTTGGGTTAAGGAAAATTTTAACTGGTGCATGCAATGGCAGTATGTAGGAGCATGACTAAGCCACAAAAAATGAGCTTCAAGGGGAGCATACAGTAGCACTTGGAACATGCACTAGCAAGGGGTACATGCTGTAGGACTTGGTGCATGCAAAAGCAAGGGATACATACAGTAGGAGCTGGAGCAAGTCCAAGCACGAGTTACATGCACCAGGTGCATGGGCAAGCCCCAAATACAAAGTCAAGCTTCCAGAGGAACTGGAGCATGCACCAGGACTTGGTGTATGCACAAAAAAGGGGTACATGCAGTAGGACTCGGAATAAGCCCAAGCATGGGGTACGGCAGGCCCCAAATACAAGTTCAAGTTCAAGGGGTACATACAGGGGGGATTAATCTATTTAACAACCCCCCTTGTTGAGAACAACCCGGGTTGCTGGTCCCTGGATCGTTTTTCTATTTAACAGCCCCATCATTTGTAACATCAAATCTGATGGCGAGGTGGCGGGATGAGGCGGGACACTTCCAGTGCGTTCCTGGTGGTCCGTCGGGCCTCTGATAGCTATGAGAAAAACATCCAAATGATGAGCCATCTTGACCAGTTCCCTGTTGTTCTTTTCCGGATTTTACTGGTCAAAAATGGTCAACAACTGCACTGCTCGGGGCTAAAATTTGCCTAAAAGTCCAAAGAAATTGCAGGGAAAAAAATCAGAGAAAAATCGAGAAGGCGTTGGAGTGTGTTCAGGACACATTCTCCATGATGCGCCTCGACGTGAACTGTTTGGACTTCAAAAACAAGTGTAAGACCAGTGCCAGCATTTATTCTATGGCAAATCTGTAAATAGCGGGGGGTTGTTAAATAGAACATTGATCCAACAACCCGGGTTGTTTTTAACAAGGGGGGTTGTTGAATAGATTAATCCCATGCGGGGGCATAGGCGAGGCGCAACTGAAAGCTCGAAGGGTGCATGACATAGTGGAGGCAAAGAACATCTGGTGTTGGGTTATACTGTACAAGCTACAAATAGTCAAATTTGATAGTGACGAAGTAGCCGTGAATTTTATTCACGGGGTTACACTAGTCCAGTATATTTTCATGCATTTCAAGTTCTTGAGCTATGGAGGTGTACCATCAAGTTGTGAAGCACGCTGCATGTATGCCCTCATTGATCAATGGTAGATCATCCTCGAGATATTATAGTGTATCATCAAGTGCATGTGTATCAAGTCCTCGTAGATCAACGGTAGATCATCCGCATTGCATCAGTTTATTCATGGCAATTTTTGAGGAAGGTGTGGGTTCAACTCCCGTCGAGGGCAATAATTCTCTTGGAACATTTTTTTGCCCATTTTTGAATCCCTTTTGTCCTATTGGCTTTTTCCGCCTGTTTCCTTGCCCTCCTCGTCCATTCTCGGATGTTCCGCTTAATTTGAGATCACAAGTACATCCGCTCAGGCTCGGGCTCGGAAAATGGGATAGATGGTTTGTAACTTTTATTTTATTGAGGTGTTTGTTTCATTCCATCATGATCTAGCTGTTGTAACAAGTTTAGACCCGTGCCTTCGGCGCGCCATGTCTGCAGCTAATTCTCAGTTGCGGGGTTTTTTTGAGAAAAGAAATTTATACATATACTTGGCCATCAACTACTACCACAGCTACCTAAACTATCTGTAACAGAAGTCAGTACATGAGCTCAGGTGTCAGCTAATCCCTAGCCCGCCGGAAGTCAGCCGACACCACAGCGAGAGCACAGCCTCTCAACAATTTTCTCTTCCGCACCTCAACATCGTCGTTCACAACTCATCGCCGTACCACTCCCTCTCAAGCCTCCTCTCATTTCCCTACCAATTTCACTTACCCACCCTCCTCACCCTTCATTATTTCCTACTGTCATATCTGCGCAGAATATAATTATTCTATCATGCCTATATCCTTTATTATTTACCATGCTCTAGTCCTACATTACACTCTAACTCTCTAGAGTACTGAATTGACATATTTTGCATTCTACAGAATGGTTCCATTGGAAGCTCTGTAGCCCAGCAGATGGGTTTTGCATCTCATCTGCTCCGCGCACCATCTGATTGACTTGCGTCTTTCAGATCCTTACCCAACCTCTTCTATCATCTTCCACCGGTACCTTAGCCTCTTCACTCTTCTCGAGTCGACGCTGGACACTACCTGTAACAGAAGTCAGTACCACACATCTGTTTCAGAGCGGCAAAAGTTAGACTGATACAAAGAAAATAGAAAATACCTGCATTCAGAGCCAGGCTGCAGCTGATTTGGAATTAGTAGGGCCAAATTTGAAGAGTCAATTGTGGGTACACACAGAAGATCAGATAAGCACAGTGAAAAGTGGTGGGGGAAGTTGAATGAAATGTAGTTGACAGATAGGGGTATAGCTGTGGAAATGATCAAAGAGGTTACAGGAGAGAGGGAGTAACAAACCTGGAATGGGAAGGAGCAAAGAGTAAGATGAGGGGCAGTGGCAAAGTGTGCTTATCATTAATGAAATCTGTGTTCGAGGCCTTGAGGCCTTGAGGAGTGGCAGCAGGGCCTGGAACGGGCGAGAGATCACATGACATTTCATGTGACTTAGTGGCAGTGTTTTCATGTGACTTTCCCGTGTGGCGGTGCTGAGCTCTTTTCTTATATAGGACAAGTTTAGACCCGTGCCTTCGGCACGCCAAGTTTGCAGCTAATTCTCAGTTGCGGGGTTTTTTTAAGAAAAGAAATTTATACGTGTGGGCGCCGACTATGTCGGCACAGACCTTGCTTGCAGCAAAACCTTTTTTTTTCCCCCCTTTGAACTGGAGTGATATATCGCTAGTAGAGACAATTGTGCAATTGAAATTTCATTTCTCCTTCAACCTTCTTCTGCTCCAGCTTGTTCGCAACATTTCAATGAATTAATGGTGGAGGGCGGCTCAGAGAAATGGCAACACACACTTGGAGCTCACCGAGGCTCTTCGTTGAGTTGCTAATCCTAGGGACTGCCGGGGGTCTCCGCACGATTCTACATGTGCGCGGTGGTATACTCACTAATACTCCGAACTGAGCATTCACCTTGCAGTTACAACCAAGGACTTCGATCTTTGAGATTCCAATGGCTGAGGGATATGATTGTATGATATGATTGTATGTAAAACGGTCTGTCACTGTCTGTGTCTACTCATGTCTGCAGGATTCGACTCAGCTAGCCAACTTTAAAAGTGTCTTAAGACTTAAAATCTCTGGCACCTGCGACCTGCCTACATGTTATAGATCCCAGATTAAACACAAATGTAATAATTTCTGGGCGCTGGAGTGCATTTTTACGACTTGAAAGGGATTCACAGAATCACAGTACCGGAAATTTTGGTCATGTGAGGAGATTTGCGCAATGGAGTGAATATTGAATCAAGGAGGTCTCTGAAAATGTTCAAGTGGGGTGTCCTCATGTACACATGGACTCGGAAAGATTCGGCGAAAGGATCAAACCGGGTGGGCTGGGTCCCACACAATTTTGAGGTTCCAGATCCCTTGTCAAGCAAGGTAATTGTCAAGCAAGGTAACATATACTTGGCCATCAACTACTACTACAGCTACCTAAACTACCTGTAACAGAAGTCAGTACCACAAATCTGTTTCAGAGCGGCAAAAGTTAGACTGATACAAAGAAAATAGAAAGTACCTGCATTCAGAGCCAGGCTGCAGCTGATTTGGAATTAGTAGGGCCAAATTTGAAGAGTCAATTGTGGGTACACACAGAAGATCAGATAAGCACAGTGAAAAGTGGTGGGGGAAGTTGAATGAAATGTAGTTGACAGATAGGGGTATAACTGTGGAAATCATTAAAGAGGTGACAGGAATTGAGAGCAGAGAGGGAGCAACAAACCTGGAATGGGAGGGAGCAGAGAGTAAGGTGAGGGGCAGAGGCAAGTGTGCTTATCATTAATGAAATCTGGCTTGAGGCCTTGAGGCCTTGTTGAGGAGCGGCAGCAGTGGCGGGAACGGGCGAGAGGGTCACATGATTTATCATGTGATTTAGTGGCGGTGTTTTCATGTGACTTAGTGGCAGTGTTTTCATGTGACTTTTGGGTGTGGCGGTGCCATGCTCTTTTCTTATATAGGATTCATTCCACCTAGGCTGTAGACACAAGGCACCTTGTGCCCTCGTAGATCAACGGTAGATCATCCTCACTTCATATATGTCGACATCGTTTGGTTTGGAGGAAGGTGCGGGTTCGATTCCCGCCGAGGGCTTTGTCTTTTTGTGGCTTTACTTTACGTCAGGAGCTTGTTCCATGTCAACCAAATATGCCCGCCAAGCAATGCTCTCGTTGATTAACGGTAGATCGTCCTCTCATAGTATTGTGAGCCATTGTGGGTTGTGAAGAAGCTGGGGGCATGGATGTGGCATCTCGAATTTTTTATTTTCTCTCTGTACTGTACATTTTTGAACGTCTGCGTCGGGCAAGTGGTTTCATTCCATCTATTTTAGACACCAGCAAAGCAGGGCCCTCGTAGATCAACAGTAGATTGTACCCCCTGCATATGTGTATCTAGGAGTCCTTTGAGGAAGGCGCGGGTTCGACTCCCGCCGCGGGCATGTTGACTTCACTTCGATCTTTTTTCGAGTTGTCTCTTCTTTTTTTTTTTTTTTTTAAAAAAAATCTGCTTTTTTGTCCACTTCTCTTGCCGTCGCGCTAAATCTCTCCCTTTTCGGCGGCTTTGTAACGGAATCGGTTGGATCCTTGAACATCCGTTTTTAAAGTCTGACGGTTTCATTTGATCTATTTTAGACACCTGCCAAGCATGGCCCTCGTAGATCAACGGTTAGATCGTCCTCACTTCATCTATTGTAATCCAGAGCCTTTGGAGGAAGTCGCGGGTTCGACTCCCGCCGAGGGCATATACCTCATCTCATTGTTTTACTTTTGTTTTTGTTTTTTGGGTTTGTTTGAAGATTATTTTGCGCTTCGGTTTCTGCGCGTTCCCCTTGGCCATGTAGGAAGTATGCTGACAGAGGAAAGCCATACGCGGCCCTCGTGGATCAACGGTAGATCGTCCTCAATTCATGGATGTTGAACACTATACGTGGAGGAAGGCGCGGGTTCGAGTCCCACTGGGGGCATGAGTTGTTTCCAGACATTCTTTTTGTCTTGTTGGCTTTTTGTCCGCTTCCTGCTCGCTGTCATCACGCTCAATCTCTCCCTTTTGTGATTGGACTCTTGAACGTCTGTGTTTACCACTCTAATGGCTTCATTTCACCTATTTTAGACGTGGCCCTCGTGGATCAACGGTTAGATCGTCCTCACCCTGTTGTTCTTCGTTTAGGTATTTCGTGGAGGAAGGCGCGGGTTGGACTCCCGCCCAGGGCATCCTGCAGCTTTTGCAAGCTTTTTCGCAGTTTCTTATTTTTATTATGTTCGATTGAATTCGTTCGCACGTTGACATTCCTTTCAATTCAGCTTTTTTGGGGGGGTTCCTCTCGAGATCGGAGTGCACTTGGGCTCGGACTCGGACTCGGATGCGGAGAATGGGATGGGATGGGCGTTCTAGGTATCGTAATCGTACACGGACTGACTGCTACGTGCTTGAACGTACGTGCCGAGCAGGGCCCTCGTAGATCAGCGGTAGATCGTCTTCGCTTCTTTCGATATCGAATATGAAAAGGTTGGAGGAAGGTGCGGGTTCGACTCCCGCCGAGGGCATCCTGCAGCTTTCGCAAGCTTTTTCGCAGTTTCTTATTTTTATTATGTTCGATTGGATTCGTTGCGCACGTTGGCGTTGGTATTCCGATTTGATTTGAGAGCGTATCCAAATCCAGGGCTCGGGCGTTCTAGGTATCGTACACGGACTGACTACATATGTGCTTGAACATGCGTGTCGAGCAGGGTCCTCGTAGATCAACGGTTAGATCGTTCTCACTTGATCGGCAGTGAATCCTGTTTCAGAGGAAGGCGCGGGTTCGAGTCCCGCCGAGGGCATAGTGTGTTTCTCACTGTCTTTTGTCTGGTTGGCTTTCTTTTTGAGATTTGGCCACTCGTTGACGTTGGCGGTCTGCGTCGTCTTATTTTTTGGCGCGCTCCTCTCAGATCAGATCACACTTGGGCTCGAGCTCGGAGAATGGGATGGGATGGGCGTTCTAGTTATCGTACACTGACTGACTGACTACGTGTTTAACATGCTACCTCAACACACTCGACGCGAGAAGGCGAGAGGAAGGCAGAGGCGGAGAGGGAGGGGCAAGCTAGAACATGCTGCCCTCGGGGGGCTGGGGGAGCTTGCGGTTCGTGGGGGAGGCCATTTCTCTGTTCGTGTGGGTTAGCGTAAGCGAGAGGATACAAAAGAGAGAACTTGAAGAGGATAAAAAATAAAAAGAGAGAACTTGGCGAGCAACAAAGAGAGAGAACAAAGGAAATGGCAAGAATGGGACAAAGAAAGAAAACGAGAAACGAGACAAGAAGGGAACGGTAGGATCGACAAGAAAGGAAGGAAGGAAGGAAGTGGGTAGGTAAGAAACCGGAAGGAGCAAGGAGCTGAATGGGGAAGGACGAGAAGGACGGTGGGCGCTTGGATGAGTCAGACTTGGCGCCGGAAAGACAAGGGGATGGCAGGAAGCGAAAGCGAGCACATGCCGGTGCCAGAAGAGACATGCATGACAAGAAGAGACAGAACGCACTTCCGTATCTCCACCAGGACGGTCTCGAGGCTGCTGGCGCGGGTCCACGCGGCGAGGACGTGGAGGCGCGCGGGGTCGACGGTGCCCTTGGCGGGGTCGACGAACGGGAGGTTGACGCGCGAGAGGAACTGCACGATCGGCGGGGCGTCCGGGTAGGACTCGGAGCAGGTGATCTTGAGCGAGTAGATGCGGTTCTCGTGTACGGTCTGGGTGTGGATGAACTAGGATATGAGGAAGGGTAGGGAGGGGAGACGCACATGGCCAGGCCCGATGATGGTGCCGTTCCAGTTGCTCATCATGATGTCGTCCGAGTCCTCGAGGCCGTAGCTGCACGACCCGTCGCCGATGCCCTTCTCGCCCTTCTCCAGCTCCTCCAGAAGCCGGAAGTTGCGCGGCACTGCATCGCTCTAGTCAAAACCTCGCAGGCACAGAGCTGAGGCAGAGGGACGCACTCTTGGCCATTGTGTGGTGGGTGTCCAAGCGATGTGTAGGAGATGAGAGATGGATTGGATTAGATCGTGACGTGACGTGACGGGATTCCTGATTCTGTGACAACTCGCCACCACCCACAGCCCGCCGCAGCGAGCAGCCACCAACGCCTCTTGCCTCTGCCCACCATGTTCGGCGGCGCAGCGACCAACCCCTACGACGACATCGTCGGTGCGTCCCTCCCATATCATATCTCTGCTTATAGACTTACACCTTACACCGTGCAGTCAAAGCGACGGACGAGAACCTCACCTCGGAGAACTGGGAGCTCATCCTCAACCTCTGCGACAAGGTGCAGGACGAGGGCCCGCCCGGCGCGCACGGCGTCGTCGCCGCGCTCCTCAAGCGCCTCGCGCACCGCAACCCGAACGTGCAGCTCTACACGCTGAGCCTCGCGGAGGCGCTCTCGAAGAACTGCTCGATCGAGCTCCATAGGGAGATTGCGTCGCGCGCGTGGACGGCGGGGCTGGAGAGGGTTATTACGGATCGGGTGAGTGGGTGCTTTCGTTTTGGTTTTGGGGAGGCGGATGTGATGGAGAGGTGGAGCGGGGGCGGATGGGCGGAGTGGAGGGGGCGGAGGCGCACGGGCTTACTGCGCGCGCCGCAGGGCATCTGCGCTTGGCACCGCAGTCATTGGCTGTGTGTCTGCGCGATAGGCGCTGGATTGTACGGAGGGCGCATCGAAGGCGGTCCGGCGCGGATCTCCACAGACGCTCCCGGGCGCTTGCGAACCCGTATCCCCGCCGGCGGCGCACGGATTTCGTGCCAGCTCTATGCCGCGGACGTTCGATGCGCGGCCGCCACAGCCCGGCCTCCGGCAGGCGTTGTACGCTGGTCCCGCCGCGGCAGGCATCGACCCTGTGTCCGTGTGTCTGTATCCGTCTCTTCCCCTCGGTCGTCCAGGCGCGCGCTCGACGCCGCATCGGCCCGCGCGTATCATCTATGCATCACCCACGGTCGGGGGCGGGTCCCGCGCAGCACGTCGTCGCCGGATATCGAGGTGGGATCGCGGGCTCGCAGCGCCGCCTGGCCATCCGGTCCCCATCTTGTCTTGTCTGCCCATTGCGCTGATCTGTGGCGCGCGCCTAGACGGCGCTTCCTTCCCCTCCCCCTCCCACACACTTAACCTAACGCTTCAACTAACCCCCCCGCCTTAGAACACGCACGAAAAGGTGCGCACGCGCGCGCTGGGGCTCGTCGCGATGTGGGCCGCCGAGTTCGCGGAGGACAGCACGCTGGGCATTATGGGCGAGTGTTATGAGAGTTTGAAGGCGAAGAGTGCGTATCCCATCCCGTACCCACCTCAAATTTTTTCTCTCTTTCCTTCTTTTTTAAAATCTCTCCCCCCCCTCCTTTTCCCTCCCCTCTCCTTTTTATAACGTATATGTATACACGCTAACGCCCCGCCCCACAGACTACAAATACACGCGCCCCGACACGCCGCCGCCGCCCGCCGTCGATGACGCGATCCGGCGGCGCGAGGAGGAGGAGCTGCAGCGCGTTTTGGAGATGAGCGTCCGGGACCGCGGGGGCCGCGGCGCGTATGCGTTCGAGGCGGCGGAGGCGCCCGCGGCGTCGAGCTATGCGGGCGGCGGGTCCTCTTCTACCCCCGCATATGGAGGGGGGGCGGGGGGGAGTGGAGGGGCGCCGGCGTACGGCGCTGGAGGGAGGGGGGACGCGGCGAGCAGCAGTATGCAGGCGTATGGGAGCACGTACGCGAGCGCGAACGCTGCGAGCGGGTCGGGGGCGGGCGGGGGTGCGTACGGCGGCGTGGGGGCGAGCGGGAGCGGGGGGTACGTGCCTGCGGCGCAGCAGCCGCAGAGGGAGCGGACGCCGAGCCCCGCGCCGGCGGCGCAGACGCCCGCGCAAGCGGCTGGTACGTCTTTCTCTTCCTCCCCTTCCTCCCCCTCTCTTTCTCCTCCTTCCCTCCCTCCTTCGCTTTCTAATGCTCACTCACGCACCGCACAGACATGTCCGGCATCGTCACGCGCGTGCGCGCGCTGCACCCGTTCGCGCCGACGGAGGCGGGCGAGCTGGGCTTCGAGAAGGGCGACGTGATCAAGGTCGTGGACCGCGGGTACCGCGACTGGTGGCGCGGGCAATTACGGGGAAGGACGGGGATCTTTCCGGTTAATTATGTGGTGAGTGTCTGCTGTCTGACTGCGAGTTCCTTTTTTTTTGGAGGGAGCTGCGTCTCGCGAGCCGCGAGCTTGCGACGATTTTTTGCGTTCGCCTTTGCGGTGTTCCCAATTCGGCGGCTCGTCCGCTCGGCTCTGTTTCCTTACATCACCCACGAGTCTTTGCTCTTTACCTTCGTCTCCCCCTTTCCCCCCTCCTCCTGCCTCTCGACTGTTCCGCTCTCCACTTCCCTCGTCCTTGCCCGTCCCTCCACCTCCGGCTTGCTCGTCGCGAATCTTGCGCTTCCTACTCTCCCCACTTTTCTGTCTCTTCTCCGCCTCCAGAAGCTCACCCTCCCCAGGAACCCCTCCCCGAGCCCACGCCCGCCGAGCTCGCCGCCGAGGCCGCGGCGGAGGCGGCCGTCTTCGCGCAGGCGGCGGACGTCGAGCGCCTGCTCAACATGCTGCGCGCGCTCGACCCGAGCAAGGGCGATAATCTCGCGGACGACGAGGAGATACAGGTGGGTTTGTTTTTTCTGTGTTTTTGGTTGCGTTGCGGGCCCAGTCGCATTTTGTCGTGCGAATACGAGAGTGGGGAGGTGTCGTACGTCTGTTTCCGCGACATGACGTGGCCGAGGCGGTGATGTGTTGCGTGTTGGGAGGCGCGGTGTGGCGGGAACGAACGAGAATGCAGAGAAGCTGACGCGCGTCGACAGGAACTGTACCGCTCGAGCATGGCGCTGCGGCCGAAGATCGTGAAGCTGATCGACAAGTATAGCCAGAAGCGGGGTGCGTTTTTTGTCTTCTTTTTCGACTCGCGCTCCCTGTTGCCTCCATCGTCTGCACACTCGTTGTCATGACCGCCTCTTCCCCCGTCCTGATCATCTCTTCCTCTCCCGCTGCCCGTCTTCCCTCCTTCATCTTCGTTCTCTTACACACCACCGTTTCCTCCCTTTCTTTGACATTCGCCCGAGGCACTACCTTCGCCATATCCCTTCCCCTCTTCCTCCCATCCTTCCGCATCGTATACGTCCCATCTCGGGCCACCTCTCCTTCCTCCCCCTCCCACACGCCCGTTCCCCGTACCATTCGCGCGAGCTACCCTTTCCTACACTACCTTCAGATGCCAGTGCATATCTTCCCGCGCGCCCCCTTTCTCTTCGTCCTTCCCTCCTCTGCTCATCTTCGTCTTCCTCCCATTCCTCCGCTTCCCCTGTTTCCTTCCCTTTTCGGCTTCTCTCGTTCCTTCCTCGTTCCCCTCCGTCTCTCGTTTCTGACTCCGCAAACTGACCTACTCCCCAGCGGACCTCGTGTCGATGAACGAGACCTTCGTACGCGCGCGCACAATCTTCGACCGCATGATGGAGGAGAGCCTCGCGCGGCACTCGGGCTACGCGCAGCCGCAAGCGTACCCGCAGCAACAGCAGGCGTATCCCGCGGCACAGCCGTACGGCGCGTACCCAGACGCCGCGGCGTACCAGTATGCCCAGCAACAGCAACAGCAACAGCAACAGCAGCAGCAGCAGCAGGGGTACGGCGCGTACGGGGCGCAGGGCCCGACGCCGTATCCTGCCCAACAGCAGGCTCAGCCGCAGCAGGGTGGGAGCCCGTATCCTGGGCAGCAGCCGCAGGCTCAGGCTCAGACTCAGCAGGCCCAGGCCCAGGCGCCGTACACTGCGCAGGGCCCGACGCCGTATCC